ACCTGGTCCTGTATCATCCTCACAATTGTTGCATATGCAAATTAAAACCACAATGACCTCCTTCTCTGAGAAAACATTAAATGCTGGATGACGCCAGTGCTGCAGGAGGTCCCAGAGAACTGAGGGGCACTAGAATGGGAGGCTACTGTGGCTTCCACAGAGGCTTTAGCAGGACCTCTGTGATCACGGTCTCAGCTGTGGTTGCGGAAGGGGCAGGTGCCAAGGCCACAAGAGCTCATGGAGGCAAAACCTAGAACAAGGAGTCTCCCCATCACCAGGCTGGGCCACCTGATCAAGAGTATGAAGATCAAGGCCCTGGAGGAGATTTGTCTCTTCTCCCAGCCCATCAAGGAGTCTGAGATCACTGATGTTTTCCTGAGGATGTCCATCAAGGACAAGGTTTTGAAAATTATGCTGAATAAAATAAATTAGTGACAAAAGGACAAATACTGTAGGATCTCATTTACATGAAATAAGCAAATGTATGTTGTTGCTGTGTTTACCATCAAATCGGACCCGACTCACAGAGACCCCTCCTTGCGTTTCTGAGGCAGTATCACTATGGAAGTAGATTGCCCTACCTTCCTTCCAAGGAGTGGCTGGTGGGTTTGGATTGCCAGCCTTCTGGCTAGCACTATGCCTCCAGAGCTCCCAAGCAAATATATAGAAACCAAAAGTTATTAGTGATCACCAGGGGTAAGAGAGAAGAAGATAGAGGGAATTTTTGCAGTGAGTTTATATTAATGGTGATGGAATAATTAAGAAAAGTACAGCAAGAACGGTTGCACACTTGAAGAATGTAAGCAGTGCTACTGATACATACATGTAGAAATCATTGAGTTGTGTATGTTTTGTTGCATATATTTTCACTACAATTAAAAAAAAATAAAAACAAAACACTTTTCTCTAAGCCCCCTAAGGCATGTTTCCACTAAAAATATGTATCTTTAATAAACTGTTTAAAATTTGAGTAACAAAAGTTAAACCTCTAAAGAATTCAGTTGTCTTTCTTTACATAATAGACATAGCTGAGGTTTTCTATCTTGTAATTTTATGAGACAAATGACAAACAGATTGATATTACAGATTGATTTTGTAAAGGACTTTCCAATCAATATCAAGGATTAGTACAGAATTGTTCAATCTCCTAAACTTTCTAATTCAACAAGATTACGAAAATATAACAAAGCTCATGATGGGGACCCTAAAGCCCAGAGAAGCTTTTGAATTAATATATTAAAAAACATAAATTCTGGAGGCGGGGCAAGATGGTGGACTAGGCAGAAGGATTGCACAGACCCTCTTCAACAAAGAAAAGGGAAACCAATTAATACAGACACAGAAGATAATC